GTAAATGCTCTATCTCAAAGGGTGACAGGCTTTGTGTATCACCAAATCCATCCATACTCAAGTTAAACTCGCCCGTCCGACGCTCACTCTCATCTTTATACCCTTTTTCATGAACTTTCTCGTCGTCTAATTTTGGTCCAAATGCCCAATCTGTGAGGAAACAAGAGTAACATCAATAACTTAAAATGGCTGCTCACAAAATATATATTTTGTCCAGAGATAATTGCAGGCCCCAACATTGTGTGCAATCTTATTAAAAAAAAATGTATATACCATATTTACTCGAATCTAATGCGCACCTTTTTTGGAAAATAACGTTTCCAAAATTTGAATGCTCGTTAGATTCGATGGCACATTACATTTGGGGCAAAATTATACATTCCCCTGATCATTCAAAATATGGCTTACAAAATGTCAACTTATAACAATGTTGATAAGTGGTGGATAGTACTCATGAGCATGCAAGTGCAGTGTAAGCCTTCATATATAGACACAGGGGTTTTATTCACTGAAATATCATTGCCAGGTTTCCCTCTGAAAAAATTCTGATAGCGAGAGTCAGAATGACCTACTTGCGTCAGGATAGTGATACTAATGCAGGATTACAATGCCTCAGCTACAATAAATGTCTCTAGGTTTGTTATTATGTATAGACAAGAGTTCTATTGAATGATTGGAGTAGCTTAACTCTTAGTGCATTCTATTTTCACCCTATGGGGTGGTGAACCGAGGAGAGTATGTGCAGCATTCAGTCATAAGGTCTAGATACGAAGACCGCTGCTATTGTCCTAGGTCTCCTGATAACACCTTCGTGGGTGTTCTATACTGCAACTATAACTAAAATTAGCATGCTGTCATTCACGCATTAAATCACACCAAACCATAAGTCTCCAAGTTAAAGACGACATGTCAAGCTAGTAAAGTAAATGGGTCTAAATACCCAATAAGTACATGATAAAGTGCTCTAGTGAAGTTAAAAAACTAAATGAACCCGACGCGCGTTTCGGAGTTTTGAATTACTCCTTCGTCAGGGGCTAAACCTTTCCTCCGATAAATCCGGGATATTTAAATGTGCTCTGGCCAATCAGAAGTCGGATCAGTCGCGAATTCAAATAGGTGAATTCAAATAGATGAATTCATACAGGCAAATTTCATTCTGGCAAATTGACACGGGTAAATTTCGTTTAAGAAGCGCTTAAGAAAGAATAGACTTAACTTGTAACACTAAAATATAAATACCATCAATGTTACCATGGTATATGGCAGTAAACATTTTCATTGTAGCGCAATGTTGTATAATAAATGTTAAAAAAATTGAGATGCACGTTAGATTTGATGGCGCGTCAGATTTGAGTATTTACTCACCTTCTCTGCAGTGCTGAGTCTCCCACGGCGCTGCCGCCCACTTGACAGCATCCTGGAAGCGTGCCTCAAGGATGATGACCCAATCCAATGCATGGAGGAGCATTGGGCACTGTTGACGCATCTGATCGGTGCGGTCACACTAAAGGAAGGAGAGGTTACTCACCTTACTTTCAGAGCCTCTCCCTCTGTGCCGTTCTTAATACAGCAGCTGGGTCCAGTGTTAGGAAGGACGCCCGCCGCTGAAAGGCGGCGCTATATAATAATGCCACTAGTGACGTTAGTATGCGGAGTCATGTTTTCAGCGTGCACGCACGTTCGGGGGTCATGGGAACAAATCAGCCATTAGCAGGGTTTACTGGGTTATTTAAACCCAAATCTGCAGTCGTTCAGTGCCCTGTCGTGGTTTCCATCCTGTTGGTTATCCGAGAGCGCGTTCCTGATTCTGTTTATTGGTTTGTGATCTTGGCTTGGCTTGAGTTCCCGTATTTCTGGTATCCCTGACCCTTTGGCTTTGTTCTTACCGTATTTGTTCCTTTCTGTATTCCTTTATTCTATTACGTTAAATCCGGCCATTCTAAGGCCCGATAATACGTTGTTACTGTTTGTTTTTGTTGCGTGTTTTACTTAATTCTGCGTGTTGGGCCACTGATTTGTCCTGACACTGTGCTTCCAAACCCTCTAACTGCTTAAATATAACCTTTGGAAAACAATTTCAATGGGTGAACTACTGTACTATAACAACTGCATTAAGGTGAACTTGTTATGGTGAGTACAGTATGCCTTTAACTATTAATATTGCCTACACACCTGTGAATAATTTCAAACTCACAATGATGCGGAAGGAGCCAGGTTTACCTTTTACTTACTAGCAGAGAGGAAACAATGGAGGTGATTTATAAAAATGTATGATTTTGCTTTGACATTTTTAGCAGTTTTCTGCATTTGTGCAATTTTCTTATGCATAAAAGAGACTTTTTGCTCCTCTTTTTTGATTTCACCATTCATTACATTCACAAGACAAGGCAAATGATTAATATTATCAGGAAAAAAAAAATACTTATTTGCATTTTTAAATTGGTGCGTATTTGCTTCAAACAGCAGAACATCAATGTACCTACACAATCACTAACCATTTAAAGCATAATTCACACGTGTACCTATTTAAGTAGGACAGGCTCCTATTTTGGGCCCAAATCCCTCTGTCCTTCTTTTCTCTCCTAATGTCTCTCTTTTCTAGGAGATCCATATTGTTGCTGTGTATAAATGTATAACAGAGCTGCTCACCATTGCCTCAATGCATTCCATTTAAGAAAACAAACCGTCGTTTCGAAGAGTAAAAACTCTGTGAAACTCCAGGAAGTGCCTCTAGTGACTGTCTGGTAGACAGCTACTGGAGGCAGTCGTATTACTACATTGTAAGCATTGCAGTTTTTTTTTGTGTGGAGACATGGGGCACTGCACCCAGGCCATTCCGATAAGATGAATTAGTGTGGGTGATTATAGTGTCCCTTTAATAAATAAATATTTTTCTCAATAAGTTCACCATTTCTATTCCTGAATCTTAACTTGCAAGGTTTATTATTTTCAGTCAAATAACTCACATTATTCACTTGGCCCAGAACGTTGTTGAAGCATTTTAATTGGCTGATCACTTCCTGGTCTAGTCAGGGCTCACAGGAGAATTTGTAAACCCAGAGGATTTAATGTGTTTTATAGAGTCATTCAGTAAAGTGAGATTTGTCGGGAAAGTGAATTTCAAATTTAAGGACAAAATAGCTAAAGCGTAAAAATTTTCCAAGTGAGCTGTGCTTTCGATCCACCTTGGGTAAAATACAACACACTGAAAGAGAACACCCCCAGCAACTGGTAATTGCTGCCCACCACTGACAGGTCTGAGGATATCTCCCAACAGAGGACCAGAACCTATACCAGCATAGCTACAGACGGGGATCATACCGTCCAAGCGAATACATCTGGAGCTGATTTTAAGCTCCAGAAAATAGTAAGTCTAACTTTTCATCTAATATCACTAGTAATGAAAATACTGCACTAGATTTTGTTTTACTGTCTTCTTATCATTTCATATCACCCTATACTCAACTGGATTTGAGGACATTACTCCCCTTTTCACACTGGATTGGCTGAAATCGACAAGGAGGCGGGGCGTAACGCTAGTTTGGAAAATCAGCACCTCCTCATAGAGATGCATTGAAACAATGCATCTCTATGAGATAAATTCAGCGTCTCCGTGCAGAGCGTGGGGACGCTGAACGGCAGTGCTGCCTACTGTGCAGCACTGCCCCAGGAAGCACCTTCAGTGGCCATCTGAGGAGTGGCCACTGGAGGTGTCTCTAGGGGCGATGTAAACACTGAATTTTCTCTGAAAATGAAGTGTTTGCATGAAAATGCCTGAAGGGAAAGATTATATTCACCAGAACAAATACATCAAGCTGTAGTTGTTCGAGTGACTATAGTGTTCTTTTAATTATCTGTACAATTATTTTCATGTTAAAATGTTAGTGTGGTAAAACCTTTTTGTTTTGACCATATTTATATGACTCACAGTGCAAAGTGAAATTGTAATTATAAGATAAGATATGTAAATCCAGCCGTGCTGATAAATCTATGGCATTAGTAGTCATTAATATTGAATTATCACAGTCTAACCTTACACATCATAAAGCATTGTATCTGGAATGTATGTATTTATGCAATAGGTGCAATATGGCACTCATATCAACATTATATAATATTGTGCTTGTTTCCATTTCAGAGATATTACAGGTCATAGGTTGATAAAATCTATTTTCTCAGTATGGAAGGAAGTGCATGGCTTTATGA